GCCCAAGGCGTGGATTTTTTAAAGAATATTGTTTGAAATATCTGAATATTTTTTGAAATATCATTTGAGCCCAAGGCGTGGATTTTTTAAAGAATATTTTTTTTAAAATATCATCTGAGCCCAAGGCGTGGATTTTTTAAAGAATATTGTTTGAAATATCTGAATATTTTTTGAAATATCTGAGCCCAAGGCGTGGATTTTTTAAAGAACATTTTTTTTGAAATATCATCTGAGCCCAAGGCGTGGATTTTTTAAAGAAAATTTTTTTTTTGAAATATCATCTGAGCCCAAGGCGTGGATTTTTTAAAGAATATTTTTTTGATATATCATCTGAGCCCAAGGCGTGGATTTTTTAAAGAATATTTTTTTGATATATCATCTGAGCCCAAGGCGTGGATTTTTTAAAGAATATTTTTTTTTTTGAAATATCATCTGAGCCCAAGGCGTGGATTTTTTAAAGAATATTTTTTTTTGAAATATCATCTGAGCCCAAGGCGTGGATTTTTTAAAGAATATTTTTTTTTTTTGAAATATAATCTGGAGGCGTGGATTTTTTAAAGAATATTTTTTTTTTTTTGAAATATAATCTGGAGGCGTGGATTTTTTTTTTTTGAAATTTTTTTTGAAATATCATCTGAGCCCAAGGCGTGGATTTTTTAAAGAATATTTTTTTTTTTGAAATATCATCATCTGAGCCCAAGGCGTGGATTTTTTAAATAATATTTTTTTTTGAAATATCATCTGAGCCCAAGGCGTGGATTTTTTAAAGAATATTTTTTTTGAAATATCATCTGAGCCCAAGGCGTGGATTTTTTAAAGAATATTTTTTTGAAATATCATCTGAGCCCAAGGCGTGGATTTTTTAAAGAATATTTTTTGAAATATCATCTGAGCCCAAGGCGTGGATTTTTTAAAGATTATTTTTTGAAATATCACCTGAGCCCAAGGCAGGGATTTTTTAAAGAATAGTTTTTAAAATATCATCTGAGCCCAAGGCGTGGATTTTTTAAAGAATAGTTTTTGAAATATCATGTGATATTAAATAAATATATATTTGTTTATGAACATGGAGTTTTTTTTAATATTTTTTTACCAATTTTTCACAATTTCTTAAAGTATTTCCGCTTTTTGAATGGGTACTACATGTATAAATATCTAACCAAAAATCATAGCATACTTTCAGGCGCTTGGGTTAAAAACTACGCCATGATTATATTTCCACATTTAATATTGACACAGTGGCAATTGTTTAAACTTAAAAAACGCAAAAAATAACGTATATCTACAACGGAATTGAATAATTTTTTTGACGTCAGTAGTACATCTAATAGTTCCATGTTCCATCTTCTCGTGACATGTTGATCTACGTAACACAATGTACTTATATATTCCTAGTCTTTGCTCCTTCATAGACGGAAAGACAGACAAGATTTTGTTGTCTAGATAAACAACAAATGATTGTGAATTCTATAGAAACAAAAGGGTTAACAGTTGTGTTTGTATAGACATCTATTTATTTAATATTGGTAAATAATTTGCAATATCTGAAATGAAATTGACATGCCAGATGCTAGTGCCAGTTGCAAGTTCATAGAGAAACATATTAAACTTTTATTACACAATGTAATTGATGCAGAGCTGTGACAATGCGGTGTAGAGATGTCGATACAGTTTGTAATATTTGGAATTTCGTATTCATATATATTTTACATACGGGGGTTTTTGTATTATTAAAGTCTTAATTGTCAACAAATATATTTCAAAGTTTATAAACCTACAACCTATTTTTGCTATTGAAAATACATGTTAATGATTTTTTAAATATTTGCAGTATGTCTATAAAGATTGTCTTTAAGTCTATAGAGAATCCCTTCAACTCGTCAATAACGACTTACTTCAGAAAGGCAATAAATGTTCAATTAGCTCGTATATAAAGACTCACTTCAGTTCCCATATACAAACTCCATACTACTCGTCTATATAGACACTTTTCACATCGTCTATAAAGATATTCTTTAGAAAAAACATAAAAACACATATTAATGATTTTTAAAATATTTTTTTTTTTGCAGTTTGTCTGAAATTAATTCTAAAATTAATTTAACTAGTATGCAATATATTTTTGTATAATTCACACATTTCTCTCCCTTCATTTCACTTTGTCTTAATACCTGTTAAAACATTCCCACCTTCAAATTCAATAAAAAAAAACTGCAATTAAAAATATTTACTTTGTCTTTGCAAAATTTGCTCGTCCTCATTTTGTGCTGATTCAAAAGTAATTTGGTATTTTTAAATGAAATTGACACCAAATTTTGCGACACATCACTACGACTGTCTTTTTACCACAGCAGTCTTCTTCACACGATTGGTCTGGGCGATGACCTACTTACACGTTGTAATTTTATTTTTTTTTATTTTTTTGTTAGTTGTTTTGCTTTCTTGTGTTTCCGACTGGTCAGGCAGACAATTTGTTATTAAAAAAATGATCCGAAAAGCAATAAATATATTCTCACAAAGCTAACAAAGCACCTGAACACCAGCGCACCAAAGAAAAATAAAAAAGAAAGGGGATTTTTGGACAAAAATCAAAGAAGGTGGATAAAAATAAAAGAAAAATGCATTTAAATATTGAAATGTTAAAGGAGCCATCATGGCACAACAGTGGGTTGAGGACGATCGGAACGAAAAAAAAAAAACAACACCTCAATGAAATAAATTGCTAACTCTAATAATGGAAAAACTGAATTAAGATAGACTGGATCGAACATGAACAGATAACCCCACAAATGAAATAAAAATTCAGTTGATACTATTATTTGTGGTTCAATGGATATTATCGTCCTGAAAGGAAGTTTTTACTCTCTCAAAACTTTCATAATTTATGATGACTATGTCAAAATATGGACCTATTTTAAAAATGTGGCACGAAACATCAAAGTAATGGAAATGGGTTGTTGCAAACATCATGCCAAATTCCTTATACAATCCACAAAGTAATTTTACTTCAGCCCGTCTTTGAAATGATTTTATCTATCTTTGAACTTTATCTTTCCATCGAATTCGTGACCTTTCCTTTCTACGTGAATCATCAGTTGGCCCGCTTTTATATGCCCTTTGAGCTGGGGCATCCTCATCCATTCTCACAACATGACCTCGCCAACGTAGTCGCTGCTGTTCGACTATGTCGATGTCCGAGAATAGGTGGTACAACTAATGGTTCATTCGACGGCAATATTCACCGTCAACGCAGGTCGAGCCATAGATCTTTTGGGAAATTTTTTCTCTCAAACACTCCAAGAGCTGCCTCATCTGCTTGCGCAAGGGTAGTATCTTGTAGATTGTAAGTTTGGTCTGACGAGAGGTGGCCTTGTTCCTGAATTGTTTACTCAGACCATAGAAGCATCTGTTGGATACGAATTTTAAAACTGATGTCATTAGTTTTATTTATGGCTGTACCAAGGTATATAAAATCGTTGACAACCTCGAAGCTGTAGTTCTTAAGTTCCACAGTTGGTCCGAGTCTACTGGACGTCTTGCGCGTTGTTCTTGAATTGCTTACTCAGACCGTAGTAGCATCTGTTGGCCAACACTATTCTTCTCCGAATTTCAAAACTGGTGTCATTAGTTTTATATATGGCGGTACCAAGGCATATAAAATCTTTGACTTCCTCGAAACTGTAGTTTTCAAGTTCCACAATTGGTCCAAGTCTACTGAACGACTTGCGCGTTGATACATCAGCATGGTCTTCTCGTCATTTTCTGCTAGTTCCACTTTGACAGACTCCTTCTTATCAATTCGTTCAAAGGTGGCAGTTACTGCTCGCAATGTTCGACGCATTATTTCGATGTAGTCGACGTAGTCGAGTAACATGTGCGGTTTGGTATACAGAGTTCCATTTCTGTTCACATTTCCATCTCGTATGACCTTTTCCAGCAGGATATTAAAAAGGTCACACGACAAAACCTTGTCTAAATCCTCGTTTGGTATTGAAGGGGTCCAAGAGCTCCTTTAGAACTTTACATCAGTCCCTCTTTGAAATATTTCTATCTACAGCTCATCTAAGGAAGATTATCTCTCCAGCTTGGCTATAAAGAAGCCCTTCGAACTCCAAACTTCAACTCGTCTATACAGAATCATCAGCTTACATCAGCAGGGTAATAAATGTTCCATTAGTTCGTCTATAAAGTCTCACTTCAGTTCCAATATACAAACTTCCTACTGCTCGTCTATATGGACACATTTCACATTGCCCGTTTTTAAAATCGCTTTCTTTAGCTCCTCTATGAAGATTTCCATCAGACTACCATTAGGAAGCTATAAAGATTACATTCCACTCTTTTAAAAAAATCCCATCAGCTCGTCTATTAAAGACCCTAGACATCAGCTGTTCTATGAAATATCACCTCTTCAGCTGGTACATGAAAGACTTCCTTTAGCTCGTCTATAAAAGACTACCTACAGAACATCTTTAGAGACTCCTTTCGTCATATTAAGGTATTTCCTCCAGATCGTTTAGAAAGACATCCTTCTAATAATTTACCTTGTGTATAGAGTCGTCCTTCAGCTCTAAAGAGCCTCTCTTCTTCTAATCAAATTACCTCCATTCAACTCTATAAAGACTTCATTTCTCATGACCAAAAACACACCTTATGATATTTTGTGTATGAAAAATGCTTTGGACGCCTACTACTGTCTTTTAGTTAGTCTATATCCTCCCTTGTCATTTAATGTTAATAACTGTTTCAAAAATCAACCCAGAAGATTTGGAATTAAAAAAATCTCCTCCTCAATCCGCCTTTAAACACTTCCTTCTTATCGTCCAAAATATATTACCGGTTCTCAGCATTTTCACAGAAAACACTGTGCACCCTTCACTTGCAAACTTCTTATATTTAAAAATAACTACTTTAAGATAACACACACATAGAAAAACAACTTTAAAAATTAAATCAACAAAGTTAAAAAACAAAAAACTTTAATTTTGCAAAATACTTACCTTTAAAATTGAATGAACTCATAATACCGCCGCCATTGCCATTCGAAAGAGCCTCCAATAGAGGAGGTGGTGGTGGAGGGGGCAGCATTAAATTTGCCGATGCATTGCCGCTGTTATTCAAAACATTGCTGACATTGCTTGGATTGACATTACAAAAATCGGGATCATCGGCATCGAAAAGGACACCATCCTCCCATTCGGTAACAATATTTGAAGTAGCAGAGATGGGACGGCTCTTCATGGTTAGTGGTTGTCAAAACACGCTTACAAAACTGAAAAAAAAACAACAAAAATAAACTTTAAAAGTTGAAACACAAAATGCAAGTTGCAATAAAAATAGAAAGCCACATCAAAGACCTTTTAACCTTAAACGTTAACCTATTACCTGATGTTGCTGCCGCTGGCTGACCTTTTTCGGAAAACAAGGAACCCCTTGATTTTAGCTGACTTCTTTAAAGGTCAACTGCAATGTTAGTAAATGGGGGACAACCTTAAACTCTAAAATGCACACCGTTGCTTTTGATTTAAACTACGGCACAGCACTTCACTCACATTGGGCCACCACCATTGACATTAAGGACTCACCGACTAAATGAATTGCTGTGATAATGTCATCGAAAGCGAGGCCACTCGTGCTAAAGTGCCACAAAATGCAAGCACAAAAACAAACAAACAACAAAAGCAACGTGAAACGAAAAGGATAATGTCATGCAAATTGCAACGCAGGCGCTCTAATGCATCCTAGAAGAATATATTTTCACAGTCCCCCGCCTAGGGTGGCAAAAAGAAAAATCAATAGTTTTCATATGTCTAATGCACGAGCCAGGCCAGTCAGCCAGCAGAAGCCAACATACACACTCACATACTCCTCCATTTGCTGCAGCATTGCTTTTTTGTTTTTGTGAAATGTTGGTCAGGGCTAAGTCGTGTTTACCGGGTGCTTGAAATGCAGCAGCAGCAATGTTGAAGCTATGCCAAATACAAATGCACATTGCCATGGTACTGTTGCTGTTGTTATTGTTGTGCATTTGGAAGTGGGTCAATATTCAGCAGCAAAAACAAAATGTACTTGGGGGCAGCTCATAGTCATGAACAGCCATTATAAATTAGATGCATGAGCAACTGTGGAAAATATAGGCAAGCTGTTCAGGGGACTGCAGACTGCCCTTTGATTGTTTATAAGGACTACCTATTAAGTCTCCCTTCCGCTCGCCTATAAAGCCTTTAGCTAATCCTTGAAGACCCATTTTTCCGTATATATAGAGACTTCGTTCAGCTTGCTTATAGAGACTCCCTTCAGCCTCCCTTCAGCTCGTCTATAGAGACTACCTTCAGCTTGTCTACAAAGACTCCCTTGAGCTCGTCTATAGAGAGTCCCTTCAGCTCGTCTATGAAAGACTCCCTTCAGCTCGTCTATAGAGACTCCCTTCAGCTCGTCTATAGAGACTCCCTTCAGCTCGTCTATGAAAGACTCCCTCCAGCTCGTCTATGAAAGACTCCCTCCAGCTCGTCTATGAAAGACTCCCTTCAGCTCGTCTATGAAAGACTCCCTCCAGCTCGTCTATGAAAGACTCCCTTCAGCTCGTCTATGAAAGACTCCCTTCAGCTCGTCTATGAAAGACTCCCTTCAGCTCGTCTATGAAAGACTCCCTTCAGCTCGTCTATGAAAGACTCCCATCAGCTCGTCTATGAAAGACTTCCATCAGCTCGTCTATGAAAGACTCCCTTCAGTTCGTCTATGAAAGACTCCCTTCAGCTCGTCTATGAAAGACTCCCTTCAGCTCGTCTATGAAAGACTCCCTTCAGCTCGTCTATGAAAGACTCCCTTCAGCTCGTCTATGAAAGACTCCCTTCAGCTCGTCTATGAAAGACTCCCTTCAGCTCGTCTATGAAAGACTCCCTTCAGCTCGTCTATGAAAGACTCCCTTCAGCTCGTCTATGAAAGACTGCCTTCAGCTCGTCTATGAAAGACTCCCTTCAGCTCGTCTATGAAAGACTCCCTTCAGCTCGTCTATAGAGACTCCCTTCAGCTCGTCTATAGAGACTCCCTTCAGCTCGTCTATAGAGACTCCCTTCAGCTCGTCTATAGAGACTCCCTTCAACTCGTCTATAGAGACTCCCTTCAGCTCGTCTATAGAGACTCCCTTCAGCTCGTCTATAGAGACTCCCTTCAACTCGTCTATAGAGACTCCCTTCAGCTCGTCTATAGAGACTCCCTCCAGCTCGTCTATGAAAGACTCCCTTCAGCTCGTCTATGAAAGACTCCCTTCAGCTCGTCTATGAAAGACTCCCTTCAGCTCGTCTATGAAAGACACCCTTCAGCTCGTCTATGAAAGACTCCCTTCAGCTCGTCTATGAAAGACTCCCTTCAGCTCGTCTATGAAAGACTCCCTTCAGCTCGTCTATGAAAGACTCCCTTCAGCTCGTCTATGAAAGACTCCCTCCAGCTCGTCTATGAAAGACTCCCTTCAGCTCGTCTATGAAAGACTCCCTTCAGCTCGTCTATGAAAGACTCCCTTCAGCTCGTCTATGAAAGACTCCCTTCAGCTCGTCTATGAAAGACTCCCTTCAGCTCGTCTATGAAAGACTCCCTTCAGCTCGTCTATGAAAGACTCCCTTCAGCTCGTCTATGAAAGACTCCCTTCAGCTCGTCTATGAAAGACTCCCTTCAGCTCGTCTATGAAAGACTCCCTTCAGCTCGTCTATGAAAGACTCCCTTCAGCTCGTCTATGAAAGACTCCCTTCAGCTCGTCTATGAAAGACTGCCTTCAGCTCGTCTATGAAAGACTCCCTTCAGCTCGTCTATCTATGAAAGACTGCCTTCAGCTCGTCTATGAAAGACTCCCTTCAGCTCGTCTATGAAAGACTCCCTTCAGCTCGTCTATGAAAGACTCCCTTCAGCTCGTCTATGAAAGACTCCCTTCAGCTCGTCTATGAAAGACTCCCTTCAGCTCGTCTATGAAAGACTCCCTTCAGCTCGTCTATGAAAGACTCCCTTCAGCTCGTCTATGAAAGACTCCCTTCAGCTCGTCTATGAAAGACTCCCTTCAGCTCGTCTATGAAAGACTCCCTTCAGCTCGTCTATAGACTCCCTTCAGCTCGTCTATGAAAGACTCCCTTCAGCTCGTCTATGAAAGACTCCCTTCAGCTCGTCTATGAAAGACTCCCTTCAGCTCGTCTATGAAAGACTCCCTTCAGCTCGTCTATGAAAGACTCCCTTCAGCTCGTCTATGAAAGACTCCCTTCAGCTCGTCTATGAAAGACTCCCTTCAGCTCGTCTATGAAAGAATCCCTTCAGCTCGTATGTGAAAGAATCCCTTCAGCTCGTCTGTCTGTGAAAGACTCCCTTCAGCTCGTATGTGAAATACTCCCTTCAGCTCGTCTGTCTGTGAAAGACTCCCTTCAGCTCGTATGTGAAAGACTCCCTTCAGCTTTTATATAAATCTTCATCCTCCTTTTTCTGTTTCCATTGTATCATTATTGCCTTCTGTTACTAAAAATATAGTTTTCATCAGATTAGCAATTAAAAGGAAGCGTAGGACGCCTCGTCGTGCTCAGCATACAAATGAGCGCAATAAATGAGTCAATTGTCCTTGTTATTCGAATGTTTAAAAATAGCAATAAAACAGGAAGCGTAGGATGGAATCGATGACAGGCCGCACATATCAAACATACAACAAAATGCGTGAGTGAGTCACTGCATTTTGATTCGATTTTGGCTTCTCTCCAAGCTAAAAGAGATGCTACGCCAGGACCAACAAATGCAGAATGTGGTATGGGAGCAAAAAGAAATACAGACGGGGTCAAGGATATACAATTGAGAAACTCCTGTTCCGCATGTCAAAGGATAATAACACTTACCTGTTAGTTATTCCAAAGATGGTTAATAAGATATTGGTTCTTCTTACAGGCAGCAATAAATTTCAAATAGACGCAAACTATTTTTAATTTTATTTTAAAAACAATATTGTTTTTGTTTGACACTCGTACGCACTCACACACTCAAAAAAATGCAAAAATAAAACGACACACACGTATAGAAAGTTTTGCAAAACCGAACACACAATTTTCTTTAAAAAGTTGGTTTCCCCTTAAAACGATTTGGCACAATTTTCATGGAATTCTTAAACTTTTCTTCGTCAGTTTGTTGTTACCGAATTTCTTTACACTTTGTTTGGAATGTTGCAGAAAAAACAAACCAAAACAACTATCATCAATTACATTACACACACGAACACCAAACAAATGTTCTGCCGAAAACACAACCAATACAATGTCTGCTTCTTGTTCTCGCTGTTACATGGCATGCCATGTGGAATGATAACAAACTAATAGTGATGGTCGTGGTAATGTAAAATGGTACACAAAAATACTTTTGAAAAGCTAATTAAGGGTTCATTAGACTGAGAGACATGTTTATTTTAAGAAATTTGAAAATATACGAAATGGCATCTCACTAGATATATATTTTATTTACATGAATCCACCAAACTGCCAAATTAATAATGAAATCCGTTGCCTGGTGTTTACACACGACTTTTTGTGTAGACAATAGCAAATATACTAACTATTTTTTGCAATACATTTAAATTTTTGTCAATTTTGTAGAGACTATCTTGATTTTTTTTCATTACCAATAAATATGGACAATTTTTGACATTTTAAATCAATATTACAAAACACATTTTCAAATAATAAAAATTCGACTAAAATTGATTATACACAAAAAGAATAAAAAAAATCATCATGATAATGAACACAATTATTATTTGCATGCATATGAAGTGCTATCCATCGTGCTGTGTGAACGACTAAAGCCAATGTTCAATGACATTATTAAAGCATACCAATGCACCGTCACACTGCAAATCCAAATCCTGGAAAAGACCTGTGGAAAACAAATCAACACATTTCACACTACGACTATAAAGCCGCAATCGACAACCCAATCGTCTTAGATGTATTTAAAGTCATGTCTGCGTTCGGCATTCCTGGAAAGAAACAAAACAATACATCATGGATTTTCACTCTATGCCAAAACCTGGAAAAGACCCACGAAAAACACATCGACATATTACACCTACTCGTCGACTATAAAGCCGCATTCGACAGCCCAATCCTCTCAGAGATATTTAAAGCCATGTGTGCGTTCGGCATTCCTGCAAAATTAATACGGCTATGCAGGACAGCTTTGAGTGGTAGAAGGTCAGCAGATAAAGTCGGAAAGGACCTATCGGAGTTCTTCGATAATGAACGAGGAGTCAGACAAGGTGACAGTTTGTCGTTTAAAATCATACTGGAAAAGGTCAACGAGATCCAAATGTAAACAGAATTGCCACTCTGCACACCAAACAGCCAAGTGTTAGTTCACACAGAAAATGAAGGTAACGAATCTGATGGAAAGATCAAGTGGAAGACATTATTACCGAACATGATCTTACAAATTGGAAGAACTGCGCAAAAGACTAACGTACCTGGAAAAATATTTTTTTATGCTCGGCTTATGAAACCAATGTTCTGTCAAAAGCCAGCTAAGTATGTAGTTGGAAAACGTAAACGGGACATTTTCCCCTAAGAAAAATCGTTTAATACCGAAAAAGAATCGGATTTTTTGTGGTTTTATATCAATATCAAATATATCAATATTAAATTACTCCCAAATTGGTTGACATACTTGCTCTAGCTCTCTAAAAAACCGATCTTAAGGGGTGTAGATTTATATGAGTGGTGGACCAATATTGATAATATTTAATATGAAGATTTACTACCATACCGTAAAACGATATGTATATTAAACGGCATAAACATTAGAACTTTTTACCGGGTTAACCTTCTTTATGAGGATTTATTTGACATATATGCAAATGAATTGACAATTGAAACCCACTAGGTTAACCAAATCCGGTTTAATGTAAACGTACTATTATAACTTTTTGCAGGGTTAACCTTCTTTATGAGGATTTATTTGACAGATATGTAAGGAAATTGACAATTAAAACTTACTGGGTTAACACAATCCGGTAAAATGCAAAATAACAAAACACAACCAATTAGGTGGAAACATGTGTCCAAAACCATAAAAATATCGAATATTGGGGGGTACCGTTATATGGGAGTTACCCCGAAACATATGTCAGTATTGGTCATTTTTCGTAGGAGGATCTGAAAATTGAATACCAAATTACAGCTGATTCTGTATCTTAGTCTGCTTTTCCACAGGCAAATTTTTATTTGGCAAATACTGAGTTTGTAGGCGAGAGGGGTGGAGGAAGAAAAACAAAAATTTGCCTGTTCAGAATTTGCCGTACACGCAAATTCTGCTTTGCTCTGTTCGTTGAAAACAATTTTGTTGACATTTCCTTTTGAACCTATTCGCTTTACTGACACACAGCCGGCTTTTGTTTACAAACCTGTTGCTTTAATTTGTGCAAGTGAAATTTAATTTTTAATTTTTGTAATTTATATAATAAAATATATAAAAAAGAAATAAAATATTAAAAAAATCTTTAAAATGCAAACACTTTTGACTTTTATTTTCTTGCTTTTGTATTTTGATTCGCAAATTTGGCAAAGAAAAATTTGCTAATGGAAAAGCAAGCGAAAATTTCAAATGAGAAAATAAAAAATTTGCCAAATAAAAATCTGCCTGTGGAAAAGCAGACTTAAACTACCTAAATACCGAATAATGAGGGGTTACAAAATTTCTCTATGTCAAACATTGTAAGATGCCATAATCGAACTTTATGCTGATATTTCGATGTGTAACAAACGGCAGTATAATTATGCTTTATAATATGTTGAAATTCACAATAGTTGCCCAACAGAAATATGACATCGGCTGAAAAAAAATTAATTTAATTTTAATGCACTGTAGCTCGGAAACAGAGGAAATGATCTTCATATGTTTTTGTGGAATTATTGTATACAAAAAACATATACATACATTAGAGAGAATCTTAATTAATTTATATTTTATATTGTTCTCTCTATTTTATTTCATTGCGTACGTTACGTTACATTTCACTATTTTATTTCTAACTAACGGCCCATACACAAAAGTTCCATCACTGACAGTTTATAAACGTGCAGCATTGCCAGATCCGAAAAATCTAAACATAAACTTTTGACAAGCTTACGTCAAACTATTTTTTTTTCTTTACAGAAAAAAAAACATCAAAATACACGACAGAGTCTACGTCTCACAATAGGTTTTTTTTGTATTTGTTAATTTTAGAAATATTTTAACGTCCCTTTATTAATTAGAACGGCAAACAATAACAACAAACTTCTGCTCGACTCGCGTAAACAAAGATTTGTTTTGTCCAATAAGACAATTTGGGGAAACGAAAACAGAGGCAAAGGAATAGCAAGCAATAAAGAATGGATGACAATTTATGGTAAGTGGTGGCGACGACGACGATGAAGGGTAAACGCAGTGGGAGATGTGTTGTTTGTTGGCCAAGAATATCAAAATATTCATGGCGAATAAAAGGGCAAATAGTAAAAAAAAGTTCCTTATCTATTGCCACCAGCACACACACAGGCACGCATTTACCTTAACTATCATCTGTTTCACTAATGTGTGTTGCAATTTGTGGGGCCAAGAAAAAAATAAAACAGATAAAGAAATCAGAATTTTCTTGGCCTAGAAATTCCAATCAGAGCGACAGACAGACTGGTTGGTTGGCTGTGAGTCATTTCCGATTGGAATTTTTAATAATGAAGTGATCTATTTGTATCATGCTTACCGATTTTCTTCTTTTTTCCATTACAGGCTCATTGAATTGGAATCCGCCTTGCTGGATGACTGCAATGTCAATGACATCTATGGCATTTGCCAAGGCAAATCCCTGCCAGAGGCCTTGCGCCCAGACGTCTGGCAAGTGTGTCTGGATGTGCGCCACAAAAGTGATCAAATGTCACTGTTCAATGAAATCTACGATTTGCCCTTTCAAAATCAGCTAAGGGAAGACTGTCAAAAGATGTTGGAACGCATCGGAAACGATGACGAAGATAAGGTCTCGGTGCTATCGGATTTGGAATCGATATTGACATTTTATTGTAAAAATCGCAATTTACAATATGAAACAGATAATGGTTGGATTGAGTTGTTGTTGCCCCTGTTGGCATTAAAATTGAATCGTTCGGAAACGTACAATCTCTTCGAAGCCATACGTGATACCTACATACCGAAAGGTTGTAAACCCAAGGGAAATGTATTCCATGTCTTTCGCCTGCTTATATTGTATCATGATCCAGAGTTGTGCACCATGTTGGACACCAAGAAAATCTCTCCAGATCTATATTCGCAACAATGGTTTCAATGTCTGTTTGCTTCTTCGTGCAGTTTTTCGGTGATCTTATCAATGTGGGATTTATATTTCCAACATGCCGATCCATTTTTGGTATTCTTTTTGGGTCTAATCATATTGATAAATGGTCGTGAACAAATTCTGGCTTTAAAAGATGCACCCAAAGAGCAAATTGTTGAATTCCTCTCCAATATGCCGTGTGCTTTGGAACCTGACGATGTTGTGGATTTTTGTCTCTTGGCTCAATATTATTCAATGAAGACACCGAGTTCATTTAAGACGGATTTCTTGAAGGCATTGTATGGGAAGCAGAATGAGAAAGGAACGCCGGAGGAGTGTTCAGTGTCACAGGTGAGTGGAGGGATTCCAAGTGGATAAACTTTTGAGGGTAGACGACTTGTTTGTAATCGAATCATAATCTTCAAGCAAGGTCAATATTTAGATGTGTATTTTTTTCAAACAACATCAAGGCTGGATTTTTAAGAGTAAGGCCTTAGGCGTGGATTTTTTAAAGAAAATATTTTTCAAGCAACATAAAGGCCAGAGGCGTGAGTTTTTAAAGAACAATTTCTCAAGCAACATCAAGGCCTTAGGGGTGGATTTTTTAAACAAGCAACATCGTGACCAGAGGCGTGGATTTTTTTTAAAAATAAACCATATATAATATCCGTATATTCCACTTTAATACATTTTCTAATCTCCCCTTTTCCAGGCCCTCTGTCTCCCCGTCTCGGTTTACGAACTTGTTGAGAATTCTTCAATTGACCTCAGCTCCACGGAGGCGGTGCGCTTCTTTTTGGTTGATTGTCGTCCAGCTGAACAATATAATGCCGGTCATTTATCAACTGCCTTCCATTTAGATTGCAATCTAATGCTACAAGAACCTGTGGCCTTTGCCACAGCCGTACAGGGCCTACTCTCGGCTCAGCGACAATCCATAGAGGCCAATTCAAATGCCGGCGGTGAACATTTATGTTTTATGGGTAGCGGCCGTGTGGAAGAGGATCAATATACACATATGGTTGTGGCTTCATTTCTACAGAAAAATACCAAATATGTTTCGTTGCTTAGCGGTGGCTATAATGCTATTCATGATTATTTTGGTGATCATATGGCCGATTGTTTGGAAGATCATGAACCGAAAAAATGTCTGGTATGTACACGCAGTAGTACCGGATCATTGTTTGAGGGAGTGCAAATGCGACAAAAATCGGGGCAACAGGCAAAACGTGATTCGGCATCGAAACAAGGTGGAAGTTCTTCAGATTTCTTTAATCGTTTCTCCCAAGTAATGAAATTTAAAACGGCCGAGGTCAAGGGTAAACTAATGGATATTATTGTGAATCCCACAAATGGTGCTAATACAGCCGGAACGCCGACAGGAGATGCCAACAATCATGTAAATCAAATGCCTGTACAGCAGAGACATGTATCGGCTGCGGAAAGAAATGGCAAACGTTATCGCAATGTGGCCCCAGTATTCAGTATTGATGATGATCACGATGGTGATTTTGAGGCGGGCCCGCATTCTTTGGATGATGGCAAAGAATCGGCAGCAAATGCTGCCACAAAATTACCCGGTGATAGTAAAGAAATTGTAACGTTAAATAATTATCTGAAGTCACCAGATATTATGAATGCTTTCAAGTGTCAGGAGGTCCATATGAATGGTTATATGTACGATTCACATTTGATAATAACACCCACACATTTGATTGTGCTGCGTGAGTTACCGCGCGGACAGGCCCAGATTATTGTACGACGACCATTGGCTAGTATTGTTAAGATTACAGCCAAGAAACGACATCGTGATTTGATAACATTCAAATATGGTTTCCCTGATGGTGATGGTCTGCTCATTACCGATATGGATCGTTTTCTAATACCCAATGCCAGTGAGGCAACCGCCATAGTGTCAAAACATATTGTCCAAACATTGGATGATGGTGCAAAATTAACGTAATCAGAGGATGCAAGGCTATTGTTATTTTGGACACACGCATACACCCATCAATTACAAGTGTAAAGAAGTTATTAGCAACAGCACTGTAGTTACTTTTTTATTAACATATACAAATGCTTATTCTTTAATAGATTACAAGAGAGAAACAAAAAACCTTATAAAATAAGAGTTTTTTCAGAGGAAAGTGGTACTTAAAATCCAGATTTAAAGGCAACTGAATAAATAGATTTTTAATGACAGGATATGAACCAAATATAGTCATCAAATGTCAAATCCTTTGCGGTTGTATGAAGATCAGAAGTTAAGGTCCCATGATTTTAAAATCATCTCAACATTGAGAATAAGTAGTAAGACGTAGATTAATATTCATTTTTTTTATTAAATATATATTTTTTGTTTTGTTTTTTGAAAAAAAAAAAATAAAAAATTCAATGTTAATAGGTATGTAAGCTGTCACATACATTAACCAATTAGCTCAGAGCGCTTCCAATATCCCTCAAATAAGATATAATTCCTCCTCTATATATATGTTTTATGTTAAATTTCCCCCTTTCCCCTCTTAATTCCTATATTTATAGCTAACAGAATCCCTTATATGTCCATCTATATATTTTTATATAGTAGAGTTTATTCCGTTTGTAAGATATATATATTTTTAAAACTAGTTTCTTTTTTCTCTCCCTACAAATATATTTTTTATTACATCACATCAACATAAATTACACAAGTTAAAAAAACTATACATAAAAAATTGTTTATAAAAAATCTATTGTAAATCAAGTTATTGAAATCTGTGTAATTGTCTCTGTATCCCTTTACAAGTATACGGAAAATATTTATTACATTTTTTATTTTGTTGCTAAACCCCAAACAAAAATTAAAAAATATATTTGTCATACTTATAGTGTATTATGACAAACTAATAAATGCTACAAATGATAAGTAATTACAACACAATAAAAGAAAAACAAAAAATGAAAAACAATACCCCCTATTGATAATGTATAATCTCTGTACTGTACACACACACAATAAAATATTTACCTTAACACATTCTATTGCTGTATTATGGAATATGAATTTGTAGACCAAAAAAAAAAAAAAACTAAATCCATTGTAGAGAAAATATATACATATATTAAACAACCAAATTAAAAAAATAATTAGTTGTGTTTTTTTTATCCTTGGGAAATTGAAGGAGGACAAAGAAGAGGCAAGAATTGTATAATGTAAAATAGAAGATATTTTTCCAAGCAACATCATAACCATAGGAGTAGAATTTTCAAGCATCAAGGCCAGAGGCGTGGATTTTTGAAAGAAAAAAATTCTCAGGCAACATCAACGCCAGAGGCATGGATTTTTTAAAGAAAAAAATTCTCAAGCAACATCAAGGCCAGAGGCGTGGATTTTTGAAAGAAAAAAATTCTCAGGCAACATCAAGGCCATAGGCGTGGATTTTCTTCAAACAACACCAAGGCCAGACGCATGGATTTTTTAAAGAAAAAAATTCTCAAGCAACATCAACGCCAGAGGCATGGATTTTTAAAGAACTATTTATTGTTGTATTAGCTATTGTATTAGCTAACTATTTATTTTTTAGTTGTGTTTTTATCCCTGTGAAATTAAAGGAGAACAAGGAAGAAGCAAGGACTTTATAAAGTAAAAAATTATATTTTTTCCAAACAACATCACGGCCAGAGGCGTGGATTTTTTAAAGAACAACTTCTCAAGCAACATCAAGGCCAGAGGCGTGGATTTTTTAAATAATTTTTTTCAAACAACAGCAAGGCCAGATGCATGGATTTTTTAAATAAATTTTTTTCAAACAACATCAAGGCCAGAGGCGTGGATTTTTTAAAGAAAAAAATTCTCAAGCAACATCAATACCAGAGATGTGGATTTTTTAAAGAAACAAATTCTCAAGCAACATCAAGGCCAGAGGCGTGGATTTTTCAAGAAAAAAATTCTCAAACAACATAAAGGCCAGAGGCGTGGATTTTTTAATGAAAAAAATTCTCAAGCAACATCAAATAAAATCAAGGCCAGAGGCTTGGATTTTTTAAATAAATTTTTTCAAACACATCCAGGCCATAGGCGTGGATTTTTTAAATAAAATTTTTCAAACAAGATCAAGGCCAGAGGCGTGGATTTTTTAAATAAAATTTTTCAAACAAGATCAAGGCCATAGGCGTGGATTTTTTAAATAAAATTTTTCAAACAAGATCAAGGCCAGAGGCGTGGATTTTTTAAATAAAATATTTCAAACAACAACAAGGCCAGAGGCGTGGATTTAAAAAAAATCAAACAACATCAAGGCCAGAGGCGTGGATTAAAAAAAAAATTCAAACAACATCAAGGCCAGAGGCGTGGATTTAAAAAAAATCAAACAACATCAAGGCCAGAGGCGTGGATTTTTTTAAAGAACAATTTCTCAAACAACATCAAGGCCAGAGGCGTGGATTAAAAAAAAAACAATTTTCCAAACAACATCAAGGCCAGAGGCGTGGATTTTTAAAGAAATTTTTTTCGAACATAATCCCAGAGGCGTAAATTTTTTGAAGAAATGAAATTCTCAACCTACATCAAGGCACAGGCGAAGACTTTTTAAAGATTTTTTTAAACAAAATCAAGGCCAGAGGCGCGGACTTTTTAAAGATTTTTTTAAACAACATCAAGGCCACAGGCGTATACTTTTTAAAGATTTTTTTAAACAACATCAAGGCCACAAACGTGGACTTTTTAAAGATTTTTTTAAACAACATCAAGAATCCGTGTAGGATATCAAATAGATATCCTATATCTATTTGGAAGCTTCCAATCGGCCGACAAAATTTTCCAAGTGGACGACAAAGTTGTTTTGTTCTTTTTGTAAAGCTTTGACAATTGCATCATGGAAAAAACAAGATACCCCAACAATTGTATGCATCATAACATTATTTCATTCATTCATCCGACCATTGCCAGAAAGGTAAGGTAAATGCACACTGGTATATAGTATAGACAACAACCTACAGTATTCTGTTTTTAGGGGGGTCAATACACAATTTAACCCAAAAGTTTTAGGCCAAAAATGGTGCGAATGCGCATGTCTCCGATACCGGCCCACCATATGTTCCAGTAGCTTTATAAAGTTGAGGCATATACCCAGACACACATCCAAGTACCGTAAGCATCAAGGAGCAATTGTGCATACAGATACATACATACGAGTGTATGTATGTCTATATCTTTGGCATAATGATAATGATAAACAACGACGTAAATCTAAAGGGTTGCCATTTTCATTTTTTAACCGACCAAAGTATATACAAATTATGGTGGAGGGTGGCTGGAAAAAATATTCTTTAAAAATACACGCCTTTAGACCTGATGTAAATGGAAAAAATATTCTTTAAAAATCCACGCCTTTAGGCCTGATGTAAATGAAAAAAATATTCTTTAAAAATCCACGCATCTGGCCTTGATGTTGCTTGAGAAATTGTTCTTTAGAAATCCAAGCCTATAGCCTGGATTTTGGTTGAAAAAATATGCTTTAAAAAATCCACGCCTATGACCTTGAATTGGAATCTAAAAAATATTCGTTAAAAAATCCACGCCTACGACCTTGAATTGGAATCTAAAAAATATTCGTTAAAAAATCAACGCCTATGACCTTGAATCGGAATCTAAAAAAATATTTTTTAAAAAATCCACGCCTACGACCTTGAATCGGAATCTAAAAAATATTCTTTAAAAAATCCACGCCTATGACCTTGAATCGGAATCTAAAAATATTCTTTAAAAATCCACGACTATGACCTTGAATCGGAATCTAAAAAATATTCTTTAAAAAATCCACGCCTATAGCCTGGATTTTGGTTGAAAAATATGCTTTAAAAAATCCACGCCTATAGCCTGGATTTTGGTTGAAAAAAATATGCTTTAAAAAATCCACGCCTAGGACCTTGAATCGGAATCAAAAATATATTTAAAAAATCCACGCCTATGATCTTGAATCGGAATCAAAAATATATTTAAAAAATCCACGCCTATGATCTTGAATCTGCTTCAAAAAATATATTTAAAAAATCCAGGCCTATGTCCTAGAATCAGATTCAAAAAATATTTAAAAAAAAATATTTCCAAAATCCGGCTTTCCGACCAAAATATGTTACCCCAATATTTTACCTTGGCAATCAAATGTGCAAACAAGTGGTGGCGGGGCAAGGAACTAAATGACGATACACTCTTTACGTGCTTGATTTCGAATTGTGTCCCTGTGTGTGTGTGTCTGCTGTCTATTTGTGCGGTAAGCTGTTAAGGCTCAACACCATTTCGGGCCAGGGTATTCTGAAATACAAACAACAATTTTCATTGAGGCGGGGAAATTTTCTCTTTTGTATTTATAATCAGAGGCCCATCAATGACGTAGATAACAGAGCTGGCTCCAAGTAAAAATGAGCCATGCTGCAGCATCAACATCAGCAGGAACAGCAGCAGTTGGTGTTACTACTGCTGATGCTAATGCCTTCATCTTCGTCTTCTTCTTGTTTGCTCTTCGATTGTGGATTGTTTTTTTGGCCGGGGATGTTGTTTTCCTTTCTTCTTCTTCCTTTTTTTGAAGAGGCTGTTGTGGGTGGCTCGGTGGGTGGGTGGTTGTGTGTGTGCCCTGTCTGGGTATGGTACTGGCCAAGTTATCTACCTTCCTAACTTCGTGTGTTACAAATACTGAACTGTGAATGAATTTGAAACGAAAGCGAGCTGGGAAAAAACGACGACGACAACAGCAACAAGCTTTGTGTGAGTGTGCGGTGGCGGCAGGCGGCTCGGCACGATAGGTATAGGTACAACAAAAATAAAATTGAGGCCAAGAAGACAATAAAAACTGTTGCTTTGTTAAATATTTTAGCAGTTCATTCAGGACTCTGGTGCTGTAAACATATCCTCTTCGAACGAACTCTTCAAAAAATAAGCAGAATCACCCAAAACGAAACGAACCAAAAAGTTAAAAAAATAAAATA